CTTTAATGTTTACATTACAACACAGGTCCAAGCAAGTTACTTTATGCTTCCTGTACTTATTGAGATACTTTTTTTGCATTTTCACTTACCATATTTTTCCGTATATAAGATGCCCCATGTATAAGATGCTCCCCCACTTTTCTAATCCCAATTTAAGAAAGCAGTATTTTAAACATAAAACAGAATACATTTTATTTAGTAATTATGTAACATTGTCCCTGTTGCATCTGAGCACTGCCTGCCTGCTCGACCTCCAACAAGGTGTTTTACAATTGGTTTGTTCAGCATCAGCTGATGTCAGTTACATAAGGCTTGTGATTGGAGGAAGCTAAGTCTCCTGACTTTAGGAAGCTAAGCCTCATGATTGGAGGCAGCCTGTTTGCAGAGGCAAGGTATGGGCCATTGTGTTCTGTCCTCAGCTTACTTCCATGTACAAGACGACCCTCAATTTTTAGTGTAAACATTTTAGACAAAAGTATCATTTTATGCATGGAAAAATATGGTAATTAGCCCACATATCCATAGATGGAAGATCTTTGGATCCAGCACAACCTTAGGTGCTCAGTGTCTAAGCCATCTTGGCGGTTAGGATTACACTGTAGATAGGTTTTAAAATGAAACTAGGACGGCATATGAAACACAAGGCCCTTCATGGTGAAGAGTCACAATCGCAACATCTTATCTCAGGTACAGAGACACTGGCTGAAATTTTGTTGCTTGGTGTAACAAGTTACCAGTAGAGCAGACCAATTTGAATCAATGGAACCTATGGAGGAAATTAGTCACCAGGTCCCCACTGAATCAATGGGCCTACTCTAGCGTGATGTATTGTGCTAAGCTAGCGGATTTCAGCTGGTATATTTGTATATCCCAATTGCTAGGTAAAAATAGTTGGAGCATATTCTAGTATTGATGTATTTTTATGGGCTTGCAATGGCATCTAGTTAGCCACTCAGGTACAGAATGGAGGACGATGTGAGCAGGGATCTTCTGTTTATGATCAGGGAGTTAGAACTGACTTTTGGTTAAATTAGTCGCTAAAAATATATGCAGTGTCTACACATGGTCCTTGTATAAAGAAAATAAATACTGGATAGGAAGCTAAATATGTATATTTGAGTGTATAATGATCTGCTACAGTTCCTTAAATTGTGGGCTTTGCATGCGCCCGGTTGCTGCTGCTGTATTATAGCTTGTGAGTTTTTCATCCACATCAGCTAAAGTACCCATGTAGTAAGGCTGATTTACATTCTTCAATTTAATGTAGCATTCTAACCTTTTTTTCCTTAAAACCCTATGACTATGCCTTTTAAATATCTTCATCAAAGGCAAAAATTAAATTGGCACGGTTGTGCATTTCTGCCATGGGAATTCTGTAATAGGAAGGGGTGCACTTGTTTAACAGTTTCTTACATGTCAAAGATGAAGGTAGAGTATCTTGGCTGTTGACAGAGGTGACAGGTCTAGCCTAAGGAGGGTTCCAACCTGATGGCTCAGGATAGCCTTTCCCAACCTGGAGTCCATCTCTTGAACTTCAGTTCTGGTAGCCCCAACTATCATGGCCAAAGAAGGATCCTAGAAGTTGAAGTTCCTAAATATGTGAAATGGATTAGGCTGACTTAGGCATTGCAAGTCTGGTGGAAATAATTTGGATGTGTAGGCAGGATATGCTGCAGAACAGGTGGGTCTTGTTGTCCTGAATTTTTGAAGGTTGGCCTTTAAACCTTGGCCAAAATAGTGGTGGGAATCCCAAATTTAGTTTAGGCACTTTTTAATATAAAAACACTATTTTCATTTCCACACTTAAAAGAACAGCTTTGTGTGTTTCTGAGTAAAATATTTTCCTCTTCTGCATGATTATTTATTGAAGTTGTGTGTGGAAGCATATTTCCTTATAAACACAATCAGGAAAGATATTTATGGAGAATTACCTGCTATTACTGGGATGGTTTATTTAAAATTGTGTCTGCAGAAGTATTTATACAAGCTAGTGCTTCCTGTTTGTATAGTAATAATAAGAAGGGTGTTGGTTAACCTAAAATGTCTATTTGGCCAAATCTCCAGTTCATGAGGAAATGGTTTCAAGGCACAAACACTTCTCCCTGACAGTAAACTTTTTAAAGGACTTTTGATTTTAATATCACTTTCCTCTCAATATTTGTTCTGTTTGGAGTGGTTTCCACAGACCATGGCTGTCCTTTTGAAACTGCCATCAATATATGGAAAACAAACTGTAGCCCTCTTTCAAATCTCAGTGTGGTTGAGATGTTGGTTTGATGTTGGCTAACACATTTTTATTACTACACAAGCAAGACTTGTTTACAATGGCAACATTTTAAATAAGTAGTTTCTCTGATACCAAGTAAGTATTTGTAAATATTTTTCCCAAGCTGTTTCCTGAAAGGATAATGTGGCTACAGCATCTAGAGCCTTGGCTAGATGTGGGCACTTGACTCATAAAAGCCGACTTGTCGAGTAGTATTTATCTGATGATGACTCATTAATTTAAAAAAATTAACTGAATTGGCACAACAAAAAAGATTCTCTAACAAGGAACATGTTTGATACTTTTGCTAATTCACTATTTTTCTGTAATAGCTGATTATTTAATTTATTTATTTTTAATCTGCAATAAATTATTTTAGCAGTTTTAGTTAAGATTTCTATAGATATAAATACCTCACTGAACAGTTCTCCTTGGCTTTTATCATGGTTACAGCTTTTGAAAATGTGATTTAAGACAGCAACTTATGCCACTGCTAACTGCTTGGATTGCCATTTGGCCTGGAAATTCTTGCAGGTGTAGAGGTCGCCAGAGGGAGAGGTTTTGCTGTATTACTATTTTCTCTCACCCCCAGTGTTGCAGAGTTAATCCTCCAGTACAGCACATACTTACGTACATTATAGCTAAATTAAAATGATCGGATAATAGCTTCCCTGTTACATTTTTTTTACTGGCAGCCAGCTCCCAGTATTTCGGGGTTGTTGGACCACTGTACCCCATGTTAAAAAGGTCATTTGATACTACCTTAGAAATGTACTCTGCTGTTAATGTTTTTTGTTTTGTTTTTTTTTGTAAGCAAAATGTGACTAACTGCATTCCTGTATTGGCAGTTAGGGTTTGGCTTTTGCTGTTTTGGCTAACAGCATTTAGAAGGCCAAATCAGGTTGTCATTTAGTGAATGGGTGGGCTAATGAAAATCACAAAGCCAGATTTTTTTCTGTTACACACCTATCCAGAAAAAAATAAGAATTGAGAGAGAGAGAGAAAGAAGACTCCATGTGGAACTGACATTAGGAGTATGTCAGGCCAGCTCTCCAGATTAACAGGTAGCAGATTAAAAATAAGTGAAAGCAGCTGCATTAAAAAGTACTGTTTTTTAAAAGAATTCCATATTCTGTCTTCTAAAAGTTAAGTCAGTGATGCATGTTGGAAAAATAACCCTATATTTAGATATCTTTTAATCATGAATCCTGTGCAGGTACTGTTCAAGGGGTCCTGTGAATATACTTTAAGAGATGCACCTAACCCTGCTCCCTCTGTTGTCATGTTCTTTCCAGTTTCACTGCCAGGGACAAAGAAGAATTCTGCCACCATGTAGGCAGAACACAGAAGCAAGAACCTACATATCTTGATTTCAGCGAACCATTGGTCAAGCAAGAACCTACCTTTTCTAGGACTCTTCCTCGCTTCTACATGTTGACTGAAATCTTTCCTTTTCATACTCAGTGCTGAAACTATGATGAGTATAAGGACTCTATGCTAAGCATGTTCACAGTGTTGGCTTGAAAAATGCCTTTAAAAAGTTAGGGTATGTGTGCTTGTTTTTCTTTTTAGGATAGAGCAGTGATGGCGAGCTCCAGTGCCCAAACTGCAAAAGACAAAACAAAACAAAAAACGCAACCCAGGGGGCGGCGAGTGGCGGTGACAGCGGAAGTACTGGAAGTGATGGTGGAAGCGGGAATCCCAGGCACTGAGGTGCCTCCAGACCCCACTCTGGATCCACCTCCACTTGTGCCCAACCCCGCCACTACCTATAGCTTCGCCGGCCCGCTGCCACCAGCACCAGCTGCTCCGGATCCTGGCCTCCCGCCTGTTGGGGCACTAACACTGCGGATGCAGCTGCCTCCTGAGGTTTGGCTGCCGGGGGAGCAATCCAGCGACTTATGGCTCGTGTGCCCACAGAGAGGGCCCTGCGTGCCAGCTGTTGCACGCATGCCATAGGTTCACCATCACTGGTACATGTGTCTTTTCATTATTTCCTATAGTTACTATATAATCACTTGTGTGTGTTTTTTAACCATATTTCAAGTTCTTAAGCCGTTATCTCAGTAACTTAAACACCAGCACTATAGATGAAGCCAGCTTGATGATGCTCACTGTATGTGGTGGGAATTCAAGCTGGGAGAACACTGGCTTACCAGGGGGTGCTTTGAGAGGTTGGACATTTTGTCTTGGGGCTTCTTTGCTGTCAGGTCACACTGAAACAGTCTACTATACCAGAACATTGTTTGTTTCATCTTGAAGTTATATTTTGAACTGCCTTTCCTGAAGAATGGATGAGTAAAGCATATATTTACATCACCTTAAATTAAATCTTTTATGTGGTTAACTAAATGAAGTCTGTTTCTGCAAAAGACTTAGAAGAAAATACAGGTGTTTGGGGGATATTGGGGGTGCACAAATGAACAAGTAACACAAACAATCTGACTTGACATATAGCCTAGTTTGTGTCTAAGAATATTATACATGTTTTCTTAAGAATGTCTTGGCTTTCTCATGACTTGTTTCTTTTCAGAACTCAGACATGTTTTTCAGATTGTTGGATGATTCCTGAAGTGGCTGACTGTTTTTGGAAGCTGTTTGATTCTTAGCATAATTTTGAATTCAGACTTTTATTAAGCATGAGAACTAGCTGTGTTCAAAGCTATTTATAAACTTAGCACAATGTAAAGTGCATATAGATATAATTTGTTTTGTTATTTGCTTTATAAAATAGGTTGTGAAAATGAGAAAAGAAGTAAAGAAGATTAGAGTTCTGACAATTCGCAGACTAACCAGACATATTGCAAAACTGAAAGCAAAAAAGTAAGTAACATTTTCATAGTATGGTTTTCATGCTAAACACACCGGAGGATTAGGACTGTAATTGAATCCTGAATGTCCTGTGTTTCTTCCATGGAACATCAAGGGGGACAATAATGTAAAATAAGTATTTCCCCTTATTTCTGGATGCCTCTTAATTCAGACCCTAAGCTAGCATAAATTGTGCAACAGGTTTTAGGCCAATGAGAAAGAAAAAAGGTGTGTGCATTATTATGTGTTAGCAGTATTGTTTATGCAGAGACAAATGGGCCTTCCTTATATACACCCAAATAAATAGACAGGTACGTGTATGTACACACACCCAATGTATCTAGGTGTATCTTGAAATAATATTGTATTTCTAATGTCTGGTATAGGGACATGGTGGCGCTGCGGGCTAAACCGCAGAAGCCTTTGTGTGCTGCAGGGTCAGAAGACCAGCAGTCGTAAGATGGAATCCACGTGACGGAGTGAGCTCCCGTCACTTTGTCCCAGCTCCTCGCCAACCTAGCAGTTCGAAAGCATGTAAATGCGAGTAGATAAATAGGTACCACCTCGGAGGGAAGGTAAACAGCGTTCCATGTATAGTCGTGCTGGCCACATGACAACGGAAACTGTCTTCGGACAAACGCTGGCTTTACGGCTTGGAAACGGGGATGAGCACTGCCCCCTAGAGTCGAACACGACTGACTAAAATGTCAAGAGGAACCTTTACCTTTACCTTAATGTCTGGTGTAGCACTTGATTGTCAACATTATTTATTAATATATCTTCTGTCTGTTAAAGGAAAACTAAAATAATTACAAAATCAATTAAATGCATATATCAAATTAGTTTAATAAACACAGAACTAAAAGAACTGTTGTCTTCTTCAGGTAGCCCAATATTAGTTTGTATTTCCTAACCATGTTTAGAAGAAGGAGAACTTTTTGCATTCACCCACCATCTGTGGTGAGGTTTTGTAAGTTTACATCTCAAAAGTGGCAGAAAAACCTTTACCAAATACTACTGTCTATTATTATGGCTTCTCTTGCAGCCAGTAATAACTAAACAAAAGACATGTACTTTCTGCAATCTGAAATAAGTGCTTTCCTTTTTCAGAGGCACTGAAGAGGCAGTACTGAAAAACCAAAAACGTGCACAAAGGTTACTGGAAGAAATTCATGCCATGAAGGTAATGCCATGCATTATGTATTGAATAGCTAGCATGCTTAAATTGCTAACATCTGCGTGGGCCATTTTTGAAATGCACGTCCAATAAGCTCATCTCAGGTCTTGTAAGGGCTACTTCTGGCTTTAAATTCAACATCTGGGAGGGCGCTGGATCGTAGGCGTAGAGGCTATTTTAAATTTGTATTTTACTGTTTATTGGTATAACTGTCAAAGTGCTTGACAAATTTGACTTCAAGAGTTGCCAAGCCAAACTTACATTAGTATCCAAGAGCCATGTGTGCCTTGCGTTTAAATTTGTGAACTAAACTATAGCTGTGAAGTGCCTCTGTTGCTCAGAAGCGTGGATGGCCATTTTGGTAGTTGACATCATAGTTCCTGGACTTCCCCCTTGCCAACTCCTTGCATTTTTTTGTAATGTTGTCACTCCTGTAATGTGCAAAGCAGTAACTGACCAAATGGATTGAAACTGAAGTCCTTTTTCTTCTGTAGCCAGGGTATTCATTAGCATCTCAATCCCTCTTTTACTTCCCTTAGGTTGACTTGTTGGCCCACTAAATGCTTGGCAGGCTCCTGTGTAAAATATATATATGCTTTTACCAGCCTAATTATGCAATGTCTTTTTTTAATACTGTTTTTGTAATTTAAAAGTCAAAGTACAGGAACAGTCTTTGAGGCTTAATAATAATAGTAAACTGCAGGAATGTGGTTTCCCCTATTAATGGATGCTCGGTTTTTTATCACAAACAGATGAGCAATATCATTTTACAATACATACTAATTCATGCAACTATTTCTAGTCTAGAAATTCTACCAGTATTAATGAAAAGTAGATTATGCAGCTACAGAACTGAATAAAACTCTTATTGAACAGCATATAGCAAATATTTAAAGACTTTGCTTCTCCCTCTAATATTTCCTTATTTTCGTTCGTGAATTTTGCTGCACTCAAACAATTAAATAGAGCTACAAATCATGGTGTAACAGGCAGCCCTGACCTCACCTGTCCGTCACAGCTGGGCAGTGAATCATCAGCCAATGGGGTGACGGAGGGTGGGGCTGAAGAGGGAGGAGCTGGAAGAAAAAGGGGTGTGAAGAGAGGGGGAGAGAACAGATCAGGAGTGTGTGAGCGAGAAAGAGCTTGTTTGGAGGCCTGCGTGCCTAAGTGGTCAGTGAGGGAAGTCTGTGATTGATTAAATAAGATACAGTGATTGACATCTTGATTAGCTAACTGTGATTTACATATTTTATTTTGTTATTTCAATAAACCTGTTTTGTTTTGAAGGAAACCTTTGTCCTTCTTAAATAGTCATTACAATTGGTGGCAGCGAGAAGGAAGTAGTATGGTGGGCATTCTGAGAGGCCTGAGTTGGCAGTGACAGCAGAGTGGCCTGCTACGTCACACATGGTTTAGCCTAAAGGGAGGTATGCATTTCTGAATTTCAGTCCATATTCTTGCACTTAAGGTACTTGAGAAAATCAACCTGTAGCAGCACTGCCTACCTACTCTTCCCCCTGCTCCAAAGACGGGTAGTTGGACTCAGAATCTATGGAAAGAGGTATTTTTTCCCACTATGCTGAAGGGCAGCAGGTTCTCATGCATGTGGGAAATACCACCCAGATAATGCTTTCCTATTTTTTCTCTCCTTTCTTTCCTTCTTAGTATTCATTAGTGAGGATGAGACCTTCATGTAAACATATAAGAAAAAAATGTTATGAAGAGGCCTCTTTTTTTGGTCCATTTTTATTGATTTCCCAAAAATAGAGCTCTTAAGCATGAATGATTCATTTAAACAAAAGAGGGATACACAAATATTTTGTGGTCTTTCGCGTTTCCTCTTTTGTTTACCTTTTCTTTCATCTTTGCCTGTCAAATGACCCAGGAGAATTTTCATCCAATAATGTTATAAGGGCTTCTGTCAGCAGCAAATCAGAACATAAAGGAGTGGGGGGCGGAATTTTGAACCATTAAAAAGGCCTGGGTTGGTTGGAACCTAGTAAGGGGAGGTTTTTTGCTTCAGTTGTTCTTGTGGGAATCTGTGTCCCAACTCTTGGTGTTCTCCATCTTATATTGTTCTGCCTGTGCCTGCCTGCTTCACCGATGGACTCAGCAGAGAAAATGATTTTAAGTAGTAGGGTGTTTCCCCCCCCCCCCNGGGTGTGTATATATGGATATGTGCTTTCCCTGTATATGTCATGTTTATTTGTTCTGTTACAGATATACATGTTGTTGTTTATTATTTTTCCCTATGTAGTGTTCCCTGCTTTTTGAGTAGATTGAGTCATCTCTGTTGCCTTGCCTTTATGGGGTGTTTTTGACTACAGTGGTGCCTCGACTTACGACTGTTTCAAGTTATGACCAGCTCTGGCTGCAAAAATTTGTTTCTACTTGCGACTGGAGCTTCGAGTTACGACCAGAAAAAAGGTGGGGAAAAAGGTGGGGAATTTAAATTACTAACCGTTGGTCAGCGAAGAGGCTGCTTCTTTGTAGCTCTTTCACCCCAATGGTTAGAGAGAGTGCATCGGAGGAGGCGTTGGGCTGCCTGGTGCTGCTTTCTGCTTCTGAGTGAGTACATACAGGGTTTTGCAGGGTGGGTTTGGGCCGGGGGGGATGTTTCTGTGCTGTAATGGTTTGTGTGTGTGTGTGTGTGTGTTTTCCGGCCCCAGCGTGTTCTAGTAGGGCTTGCTCTGTTTTTTTCTCTGTGTGAGTTTTTTTTTTCAGCCCCAGCGCGTTCTAATGGGGCTTGCTATGTTTTTTTGTTTTGTTTTTGTGATTTTTTTCCCCAGGCCCAGCATGTTCTGATGGGGCTTGCTGTGTATGGTTTTTTTTCTTCCAGCCCCGACGCCTTCCGATGAGGCTTGCACTGGTGGGGTCTTTTTATTTGTGTGTGTGTGTTTGTTTGTTTGTTTGTTTTTTGGTAATTTTTCCCCATCTGGAACGGATTAATCACATTCCAGTTCATTCCTATGGGAATGGTGCTTTGACTTATGACCATTTTTTTTTTTGGGGTTTTGGTGATTTTTTCCCCAGCCCCAGCACTTTCCAGTGGGGCTTGCATTGTGTTCTCGGTTTTTCATGATTTTTTTTCTTCCAGCCCCGACGCCTTCCGATGAGGCTTGCAGTGGTGGGGGCTTTTTATTTGTTTGTGTTTTTTCTTCCAGCCCCGACGCCTTCCGATGAGGCTTGCACTGGGGGGGGCTTTTTTTTTGTGTGTGGGTGTTTGTTTGTTTGTTTGTTTTTTGGTAATTTTTCCCCATCTGGAACGGATTAATCACATTCCAGTTCATTCCTATGGGAATGGTGCTTTGACTTATGACCATTTTGAGTTACAACCATCTTCTGAAATGGATGAAGTTCGTAGGTCGAGGCACCACTCTAGTTGTTAAGGATTCTTTAGGGCTTTTGGATTCCTTCTCTGTTGCCTGTCATGCTCCTGTTTTTTTGGAGTAGTTTTTCAGCCTTCTTTAGCACCTTTGGACAAGTGTCAGATAAAATACAAATGGGGGGGATCTATTTTGTGGTTAATGTAAGAAGTAGTACATGAAATATATGCAAATGAAAGAGACATGTCATCACCCATGAAATAATACAAAACAAAATAAACATGAAAGTTCATTGGGAATCTCTAGATCCACATTTGTGAAGGCTTCATGGATCCAAAGCTTTCATTTAGAAAAGGATGTGGCTAAGTTGTCCTCCGAGAGTTTACTGTGTTTAAGTGAGAAGTATTCAAATACAGATTTTTTTTAAAAAAAATACACTCTACCAGAATACTTCTAGTGCCTGCTTCCGACCATTTCCCTATTTAATGATGACAACAACAACACCATCAGAGCTACAAAAAAGGCAATATTAGGAACAACATACATATTGTGCTGCTATTTAACATATATGTAGGTTTTTGATTAAAACTTGTATCTGTTATAGAATACTAGTCAATATTTTTATAATTTTGATTGATTGTGCCTGGTACAGTGGTGCCCCGCTTGACGATTACCTTGTTATACGACGAAATCACTTGACGATGTTTTTGCGATCGTTATTGCGATCACAGAACGATGATTCTATGGGCGATTTTGTTTGATAACGATCGGTTCCCTGCTTCGGGAACCGGTTTTCCGCATTACGACGATCAAAAACAGCTGATTCTCAGGGTTTCAAAATGGCCGCCCACTGTGCAAAATGACTCCCCGCTGTTTTCAGGACTGATTGCTCGCTATACAGGTGTCGGAAAATGGCCGCCCTATGGAGGATCTTCACTGGACGATGAGGTATTTCCCCCATTAGAACGCATTAACCAGTTTTTAATGCATTTTAATGGTTTTTTAAATTTCACTTGATGACAATTTCGCTCTACAGCGATTTTGCTGGAACATATTATCGTTGTCAAGCGGGGCACCACTGTATTTTTATTTTTGAATAATATCATTGTCATCATCTTGGGACTGCAGAGCTGGAAGGGATGCTATGGATCATGGAGTCCAGTCCCTGTCAAGGAGGCACTGTGGGGAATTCAACTCCCAATGTCTGGCTCAGTAGCCAGAGACATAAGTGCTATCCAGCAGTTCATTAGGCAGAGAGTCGCTGGCTAAGTAGCCAGAGACATAAGTCACTGAGCTATCCAGCAGTTCATTAGGCAGAGAGTCTTTTCAGAGTTCAAGCATACTCTTGGGTGCCAACAGCTGTACATATTGTTCAGTGTGAATTGTTTAAGTGATTAGTTAAAGCTTCCAGATTAAGATTTAATGCCTTTAAAAAGTTATGATCTGCTCTTTACCCAAAGGGCCATTTGTACTTGATAGATGCTGAGAAGCTCCTGTCACTACCTGTGAATATCTTTATCTATAGCAGATTTGTTCCTTAAGTATACAACACCAATGTGGTCTGGCATGTGGAATTTTTCCTTTGATGTCAGTATTTCATTTTTATTAGGAGGTTTAATGGTTGTTTTTGTTCATTTGTTTTGTAATAATCAGGCATTTGCGAAATGTTCAGCCATTACT